GCTGTTGTCCATTTTCCTTCTAGTCAGATGAAAAGACCTGTGAGGATTTAGCAGAAGGAAACCACTACTCAGCACCTCCTGACAGCTCTTCGTCGCCGCTGGGTGAGGATGTGTCCACCTCAACGTCCTCACTCTTCATCGACAACCTCACCACTGAAGGTAGGGGCAGGGGGGAGCACCAGGGGATATCCCACCCCTGGGCTGATCCCTGGAAAGGGCTTTCACTCCAGTGCTTCCTAAAGACAAATCATAAGATGGTTCTGGAAGAATCACGGAATCATGGAATGGTTTGGATTGGAAGTGCCTTGAAGTTCATCCAGTGTCACCCACTGCCATGGACAGGGACATCTTCCACCAGCCCAGGTTGCCCCAAGCCCCATCCAACCTGGTCTGGAACATTTCCAGGGGTGGAACAGCCACAGCTGCTCTGGGCAACCTGTGCCAGAGCCTCAGCACCTCACAGGGAAGAATTTCCTCCCAATATCCTCTCCTGAGTCCATTTCTCCATCTGGAAACAGGAACAATGACACATGGATCTGTAAAGTTACATCATGGAATGGTTTGGGTTGGAAGGACCTTAAATCTCATCCAGTTCCACCCTTTGCCATGGGCAGGGACACCTTCCACCAGCCCAGTTTGCTCCAAGCCCCATCCAACCTGGTCTGGAACACTCCCAGGGATGGTGCAGCCACAGCTTCCCTGGACAATGAGAGCTTCTTCCCAACAAAAGCAGCACAACTAATCCTGACTGGTCCCAACTGGTGCTGAGTAAAGTGAGCTGATATCCACATAAGCACACGCACGCACCAGGGTCACTGGAAAAGGTGCCAGCAACACCCTGTGTGTTTTTCTGGAGTATTTCCATGGGATGTTGCCATCCCACAGCCTGTGAGGAGCACATCCAACGTGGCCTAGGGCAGGGCTGAGCACAGGAGGTGGCGGAAAGGGCAAGCCAAGAGGTGAGGCTCGAGGGGCTGTGGCACAAGGAGGGATAAAACCCTTTGGTGGGAAGAATTTGACAGCTTTTCCAGCTTTTTTCCCCATTTGTGAAGGTCAACCACAAGTAATCCCTATTGGCCAGAACCCTCAGCATCCTAGAGGGGTGAATCCTGTCGAGAGGGACTCAGGTTTTTATGTGCCTGGTCTGAGCTGGTGGCTCAGGACTGTGAGCTTGGAATGAGCACAGCTCAGGCTGGTGATTGCCTTCTCCTTGGGAATGGAGCTCATTCCAGCACCAGAGAGCTCCAAGATTCCCTCGAGACACTCTTGTTCTGCAGCTTGATAATGCCATTAACCCAGGGCTGTCTCTGGGCTGCTGGGGCAGGGATCACTCCAGCTCTGCTGCTTAATCGTCCCTAGCGCTAACTGCTAATTAGAATAGCAAGAAAGGAACATTAGTAATTGTCCTTCGGCGATGGGAAGGAGTTGGGTGGAGGGAAGGAGCTCCAGGCTGACAGGGCTGACTCTGAAAGGAGCAATTAAAGGCAGGGGGGGCTGGAACACACCACGGGGATTGTTTTCCAGCTCCTCGCCAGTTCTTGGAAAAAGAACAAGAGGTTTTCTGTGACAGAGTCAGGCATGAGGTTCCTTTGTAATCTTGGAAGGAAACAAACAGGCAGCTGCTCCCGAGGAGAACTTCACTGGGAGGAGAGCAGCAAAGGAACCAGCAATGAGAGAGAGGGACCAGCCCTTGGTGTCCTCCCCATCCAGCCCAGCTCCCTGGATCTGTGTTGTGTCCTCCCAGCCCAGATTACTGGACCCACATCCTCCCTATCCAGCCCAGCTCCCTGGAGCTGTGTCCTTCCCATCCAGCTCAGCTCCCTGGATCTGTGTCCTCCCCATCCAGCCCAGCTCCCTGGATCTGTGTCCTTCCCATCCAGCTCAGCTCCCTGGATCTGTGTCCTTCCCATCCAGCTCAGCTCCCTGGGTCTGTGTCCTCCCCAGATTATTAAGACATAAAGCCTTGTGTCTCTCCTGGTTCTTCCAGAATGAGGTGAAAAATGGAAGTGGATTTTGGGCCTCCATGAGTAACATCCCCAGTGTAACATCCTATTGACCTAGCTGGGATGTATCAGCAGCAAATGCTGTAGCCTGAACATGGACTATGTCCCACCCTGAGCTGAGGCCTCATCCAGCATCCTCTTGCTGATCCACCTGAGCACACTGAATGACCCATTTCCCCAGAATCCTGTGCCCCAGGTGCCACCTCCATGAAGGAAACCCACAACCCACCTGCTTTCACTGTTCCTTTCCTGGTGCTTCCCTCTCCCACCAACTCAGAGGTGTAAACCTGTGCAGAGATCCCATCACAGAGGGATGAAGGTGGGTGGGAGACATGCAGGCTATCCCAGGAGGCTCCTAACTTGAGTTTTTGCCTCTGTTTTCTCCTTGCAGATGACACAAAGCTCAATCAGTATGCAGGAGGTGAGGGTAAGTCCCTGATTCTTTCTCTGCCTGCTCCAAGGGAGCTCAGGGTACCTGAATCCCAGTGCAGCTGTGGTTGCTCAGAGGGAGGACAGGTCAACCCAAGAGCAGAGGGATGTAATGAAGATAAAATTCCTGTTGGCCTCACCCTGATTAATGCCATTCCAGCCAGGGAAAAGTGAGAGTCAGGACCAATCTGTTCCATCCTGCTGCTGTTTGTTCACTTTTCCTGTGCACACTCAGACAAGGAGTTTTCTCCTTCCTGTAATTCACTTTCCTTGCAGTTTTTGCAGCCACAAAGTCCTTTTTTTTTCCCTCTGAATTTCCTCAGCTGAGCCAAAGAGCAGTGTAAAAATCCAAACTTTGTGCTGCCTTTTCCCTGTCTGTTCCCCTGAATCCTTGCTCTGTCCTGCTCTGATCATCAGCCTCAAGCACAGGGAGCCAAAGTGTTGCCCTAATAATTTTTCTAACTCCGGAGGATGGGAATAATCCCTCTTGACTAGATGGCAGCTCCAGGAGTGTATCCCTCTTCCCTGAGAACAGCTCAGGGAAGCCCAACCAGCTGAACTGGGCACAGGATTGGGCCACAGAGCCTTTGGAATTGTGTTTATTCTGAGTTTTAGCCTTAGTGATGTTCCTGCT